GCGTGGGCAGGAATAAACAAGGCACAGCGCAGACTGTACACGGCGCAGGCGCAGCGCACCGTTAGCATGGAGCCTGCGCGAATATGCTCTCACGACACACGGCCGAATCACCGCACAACAAAGAAACGGGCGCAAATAGCCCGGCAACGTGGCTCGGCGTGCGCCTAGGGCGATGATGCTCACAATCTAGACAAAAGTCCTTTTGTACTGCTGGAATCGTGGGCAAGAAATCGTTTAAAACTAGCAACAGTGTGAAAGCGTCGCTGGCTTTTATGCATAGGAAATGTGCGGAAGCAGGAAAGCTTCTTTGCATTGGAAATGACGGAAGTAAACTCGATTTTCACTGATTTGTCTGTCCGTGTTCAGATGAATCTGAGAAGATCTAAATGAGATTTAATGTGCTATTTTGAAAGGGATGGACAATTTGTATTACGTGTAGCCTTGAACCAAACAAACGATGGAGACATTGGTCATGTCAAGCCTAATACACAGAGGGTACTATTAGAAATACTTGTTTGGTTAGTCAGTTTTAGAATATCCGAGTCGCATCCGTGCCTTATCTATGGTCTTATTTAGTTCTAAAACTGCAATCAATTAAATTAGTAAAGTAAAACGTAAAAGATTTGTTCTTTAATTCTTCCATAGATTTAACATACTTCTCCGACCTAACTATGGTTGGTTGGTAATATGTTTTGCAAGTGGATTTATTGTGGGACAGCGATCCACAAACACAGTCACATAAGAAGATACAAAGGATGAGAAAAAATTGAACATCATTAGATGAAAGTATACTAAATTAACTTATATTGTTTTATACCGTGGAGTTATCTATCATTTTATCTACTATAAATATCTGCATTACTGCAACCTATTTTATCTATATGTATGTCTCTAATAACATCTGTTTGAAAAGGTGACAGAATAATCATCCCTAGACTTTGAAAAATAGTTCTACAGCTGTCTTTACTATTTAGACAAGACTGCAAATTGGAAAATGACTGAAACTCATATCTCGTTGAAAATCACCTTCACTCTGAAGGAATCCGGATACGCTTTGTTCCAGTGAGACTGAGACAGAGAGCAGAGCACAGACAGCACACGCGTGATGGCTGCCGGGAGCCAGCAAGCTCTGACACAAAGCCAGGCTCACAATGTGACGCCGTCATTAATTGTTGTATCAGTGCTACTAATTAAGTGGCCACACGTTGTATAATAGTCAGCCACTCTCTACACCGAGCTGCTGTCATTGTTTGGCTGTCACCAGCAGCCTTGCGAACGTCTACGTCAGTATCAGCATCAGCTCAGAATCATCTGCAGCTTCAGTGTCCAAAGCGGAATCATCAGTAGCAGAAGTAAATGTTGATAGGATGCTGTATCATCAGCCACTCTGTACACCAAGCTCCTATCATTTATGCTGTCACCAGCAGCCTTGCGAACGTCTACGTCAGTATCATCAGCAGCGTCAGTATGCAGATCATAATAATCAGCAGCTTCAATGTCAAAAGCAGAATCATCAGTAGCAGAAGTAAATGTTGGTATGACGCTGACCAAAGCCACTCTTTACACCAAGCTGCTGCAGTAATTTATGCAGTCTCCAGCAAACTTCCTAACGTTAAGTATCATCAACAGCTTCAACATCATCAATAACGAAGGTAGCAGCAACGCCAAGATTAACAGGCAATGTCATCAATAAGCAACAAAAGGTGCTACATGTTTTGGCAAGTTGGTCAAACTCCGAATTGTGATTAAGCAACAGATCTATTATCAACGATTCTCTTTTGAGTTGTATCGTGAACTTGGTCTTCATGTCTTTCTGCTCTTGATTCTTTTCGAGTGATGCAAAAAAGTGCACTAATTTCTTAAGAGATCTGCTTAGTTTTGGATTTCTAGAGTTCGTCATGGTTTAGCAAAGAATCTCTTAAATAAACGGTCAAAGTAAAACAGATCAGAGAATTATCGTTTAAAATAAGAGTCTTAAACTTAAATGAGATTTAGTTTTAGACAACAGTCTGTTGATGTCGATGACTTGTTTGCTTCCAACGTCACCCAAGCTATCCTAAAAACTTGTATAAGAAATTCGTCATCAAGGGGTACTCCTTATTAAATTAGTTTACAACACTATCTGATAGCTAATGGATAACTGAACTTACGTTTATGTCCACTAGGCGACACAGTACATTCATAATGGACAAATCCTATTACGTATAAGGTGGGTGAAATATTTCTTAACTCCGAATCAATGTGGTGCTTTTCTTGAAATTTTAATCAGTGCGGATTCAAAATTCACCTGTGCTGCTGAGCGAATTCAGTGGTTCCACCTCAATACTCTCCCTGGCTCATTGAATGCTGGACTGGAGGCCGTTTAACATTTCAATGGGCGGTCAAGAGGATTGGAATGTGGCGGAGAAAATTATTCTTACTAATGGCAACAGCGGCAGGGCGATCGCCCCCGTCTCCCGGATGCAGCAGTTCTTTTGTTTTACGGAAGATGATATCTCCTTCAGTCTCTTGATTGAAACTGGAGCAAGGGATGTTTTACGAAATTGGATCGTTTCTAGATAACTCTAATGTTTCAGCCTATTCGTGTTGATCTCTAATTGAAGGTTTTCTTTTCCTATGTAGTTTTTTTTAAAGATTAGGTCTGTTGATTCTTGGTTGAACTTGTGAAGAAATGGAAACAACGAGGAGGTCTGTCTTCTGTATCCAATAGTAAATGCTTACACTTAACACATCTAGATTTTATGAACATGTTTATGAAATTGATAAACAGAATTAGATAAAAAAATTCCCCAAAACATTTATTATAAAGATATAACTACAAGGTATTTTCTTTTCTCAAAATCTATTCAGTTCCTGAACTCAAGGTGTCAAGTTGTACCATTATCGTAGTTTCCATACTCCGAGCAATGCTTTCTTGCGTAACACATAACATCTGTAATCAGTCTACACAGTTCCAGCGACGCCTACCAGCTAGCATTTTACGGCAGTTTTACGAATTACAGTGATAGACAAGAAAACACTTAACGTTTACCGGTCAACCGTGACGACGGCCCGGGCTGCAGGCTGCCTACACTCAGACCTGCTGCTGGGACTTAGCCCCTCTGGCGATCTTGACATTTGACAGATGCCGATGCCACTGTGGGCGGAGCGCGGGACCTGCTAGACCATCCTGGCAAAGGAACTTCAAAAACTGGAGCAACGTAAATATCTTATCGGTCAGATGCATATAACCGATAGAGAGCATTTTTTACACTGCATCATGAAATTCGACCGAGGGTGGATTGATAGACTATCAATTAATCATTGATATGGGCCGCCACCTATGTGCTGTGCGTATCTTAACCCAAATATGAGTGTGATGATCTGTATATTACTGACTAAGATCAGCTGTTTCATTAGACAGGATAATTCATTTAAAGCCCAGTGATCAGGAACAGCTGGGTCCAGTTTCGATCCATCAAAAAGCTACTGAATTTTCTCAGGATCGAAACGGTGACCTTACTCAGATACCCAGCCAGTCTACATAATTTTATAGGCTACCTTGGCTACCTACATAAACACGTGTACCGAATAAAAGCCACTGCATGTTCTATTTCCTCAGAAACAGCTCACGGATGCAAGAACTAATTAGTTCTGTCTTTTAAAAAACATTATTTAATTTTTTTCACAAAAGCTAAATGTTTAAAGTTTAGACTTCAAGACTTGAGTCAACATTTAGTCAACAAACACAAGTTGGATCGCGATGTCGATAGTTTGTTTCATACAACTTTTTATTTCAACATCTCTTCTAATGTTTGCTATGTTTTATCATTAACAGCAGTTGTAGTTTACTAGCATTAGGGGGAAATATTCTCCTTAAACTTATACACGATAAACAAACTTGTTAGGGCTTTTCGTGCCTTTCGGAACAGAAATCTAAAACCTTATTTATTGTAAAACTACGAACCAAGGAAACTCTTTTGACACCTTAAATTTTAAAATTGATTAAAAATATGGGATGAGCTGTGTTCACAAAACGTCTTTACGTGTTTTATAAAAGGATGATGATGACGTCATTTTGTCGTTTGTTTATTCAGCCAACAACATGTAGGCTAATCTCTTTGTTGAGTTGAAAATCTACAGCTGTTTTAATATACAGTGTTAATACTAAAACATTCCGCCTGTTAAAGGAAACAACATCTTTTAAAAAAAAAGGAATTTGTACAAAGCCCGAATAGGTACATTTATTACATGAACTGGTGAAAGGGGCGTCTACATTCAAAAGCACAGCATTTTTACATAGACACAATGTTACACACGTCATACAAAAACACCTACAACACTACAAAGATTTATTTACAGAGTAAACAGCCTTATCAAACCGACAAGTCTTGAAAAAAGATACTAATTATACCTACGCAATCCAAACACAATATTTATTTAACCTTAATTCTAGAAGATTAAAGCGTGATCTTACATGAAAAAGTCACTTGAAGTTCAAGATACCCCAAGTCAATTGACTCCACAGACCTTACGTATAGGCTACATTTTTTACCAACCCAGTAAAATGAACATGATACCAATATTCTTAAAGAATAGAACCAAGTTACCATAAGTTCAAGATATCCAAGATGTCTATGTAGATTTCTTCCCGTTGGATAGTTTACCGGAGATAATTCGTGGCCTATCAAAAAATTCCAAAGACGTATCACGTCAGATAAAATCTCTGTTTTAAGGGATCAAATATTTTTACCTGCAGTTCAAGATATACAAGGCGTTAAACTCCACTCCGGTTGAATGGGTTTAACGGAAAGACAATTCAAGACATATCAAAACCAAGAACGCGTTTTAATCTTTATTCCATATAAATATAATCAAACTAAAATTGTTCATGAAGTTCAAGACATCAAACTCAAATCACTCCGAAACCGGAGTGAATCGGTTCGATTAAATGGGTTCAGCGGAAAGATTATTCAAGGAAGATGAGTGTTTAATCTTTTACAACCAAACTGAAATGTTACCTGAAGTTCAAGATATCCAAGAGGGCAAAGTTGATTCACTCACAACACTTCACACCCGGGTAACCAACGGACCGACGACGACTGTTCTAACCGAGCTCTGAAGGTAGACTGACCTGAGAGTTTCCTGTCCTCCTCCGCAGCGCCACGCCACCGTCTTCGCCCCCTCCTCATTCTCACAAGGTGAGGGTCTTCTTTTTAAATGTTTTGTTTGCAAACTTGAAGCGGTATGTTTGCGGGTTCACTGGGACCTCAGCGTAGTGCAAACGAAACGCCAGTGCAGCCATTGAGGCATTGACACGGCAGGGGAAAACTGATATCCCTTGTGTTATACCTGAAAAAACTAAATCTAATTATGAAGTTCTGAGGCACAAATTTTTAAATAAGCTTCCCAAAGAAGTGATTTCGTTAACCAAAAAAGCCAAAAATCAAGTTCTTCAGTGACTGTCTAAGCATTTGTAGGCCTAATGTTCATGGGCTGGAAGAATTTTTGTAATGTCCAACCAAAGAAATGTCATTCTAGTCATTATCCAGTGTTTACCCTGTTGTTGTATACAAAATAGTGTTTTCTTTTGGATGTGTTTTTATGTAGACCGTATTAAGGCAACACTAAATAAATGAATAAAATCACGTGGTGATCTTGTTCTCATAGTTTACGACAACAAGTGTTTGTACTGTACCCTGGTTCTCAACTCCACGACACCCGAGAGAACGTTAATTCGGCAAAAAAACCAACACGCATCTTACAAACAAAATGGAAAGAAAGTGGGAAATCGTTTTAAAATTCACTGGGTTCCAGTTCCTGTATTTTAGTGTGGAGAACAGTTATTTTATGTAATGTGGAAGATAAATACGAGATATAAGAGTTATAATTAAAATTAAAAATATTCATGGTAAACAGTTGGGCTTTACAAAGGTGATAATTGTGAAGAAAAACAATATTTTTTCACTTTTAATGTTTCTGTAAAAATATCTGGATTTCGAAACTTACAGAAATAATGTACTGCAATCAAATCTACTGATTTGTAAAACATAAATAAATGATTTATTCTAAATTAATTTTTAAAGACGATTTTTACATAGACAACTAAAAAAGACTTGCTCGGGTGTTATTAGAACCATCGATGTATAATTGCATCGATGATTAGAACTCCGCTCGTTCAGAATCAACCAAGTTCCAACGTTGTCTTGTCCGAGCACCAGAATTAGTATGTACATTTTAACATTTTATTGACTAATGAAAATCGAAAATAAACCCTCCGTTTATTCTAAGGTTCAATCTGACTAACTTTGTTTAGCGCCACCGAAAGGATTTCCCAAAAGTTGATTTTTGGTACGAAAATGATTACAGGGATATATTATTATGTGAATCAAAATAGTGTTTGTTTTTCATGGCCAAATATTTTGGACAGTTTAGGCTACACATATTTATAAGTTATACAAGTTAATTTTAACGTAGTTTTGTAATAACTTTCATTGTATGTGAACGTAATATCATAGAAGATGTGTAAATCTTTGCAGTCTGTGTTACAAGAAAGCGAAGAAATAAGTCTGAGTGACGACGACGCTCACTATGGTCAATATGTTGATTACTAAAAAGGCAAATATTTTCATAATAGTTTCTCTGTTCACGTTAGAATCTACAGCTTTGTATTTTTCAAAAGTTAAACTTTTGGTACGAAAATGATTGCGGGGATTTATTATTCTGTTAATCAAAATAGGGCCTAGTACTTGTTTTTCATTGCCAAATATTTTGGACAGTTTATGCTACACATTTATAAGTTTATACAAGTTAAAATCTGTGCATTAAACACTATGCACGAAAACTACATGTGCGTCACTTCAAATCGATCACCTTAAACTGTTACAGAAGATACCAAACCCTCTGTAATGTGAGGTAGCATGTAGGTCTACCGGTAATTCTGGCTCCATTCGACAATTCGAAGAGAAAGAATCGTGATCGATATTATCTAGAAGTAGGTGACCATCATCCTACTATCATATACAAGAGAAAGCTGGCTTGGACGTCCGAGGCTTGTGGGATATGGCTAATATCCGCTAACAAATGTCCCAACTAATTTTACCAAAAGGACTGCGATTTTCACCTCATTTGTGTTTGGGCATTCATAAAATGAGGAGAAAGTTCCGTCTAGTCTCTCTAGTGCATATTTTTGTCTTACCTTTGGACGCTGTATTTCAATCTTGGTCATATTGATACTTGTAGGTTTACAGTATATATTTAAGGAATACTTGTGAAATGCTATACTTGTATACGAGCAATGTTTGCTTGTATGTATGCTTGATTGCACTAAGATCTCGCAAACGGCTTCGATGGTTTCCTTCAAATGTTGTAAATAATTTATTTCTGGTCTAAAATCGTGTTTCATACAGTTAAAACCGCCAACAAAAATCTAATTAGGGGCCTACGTAAAAAAATTAATTGAAAGTAATAACGATTAATAGGGAGCTTATGGGTTCCTACCACGTGTTACTTTTTTTATAACAATTTTATTAACCGATCAGCATTACATTGCTATACAGGTTATGTATAATATAAGAAAGAAAAAAAATAACATTATTAATTATATTAACATAGGTAGAGGTCAGCTAGCTATGGCTAGCCCCTCAGGCACTTATCGTCACTGTTTTAGCGGGTCGGACTGTAAACGCACTGTCCACCAATGAAACACAAATGGAAAAAAAATTGTTATAATAAACATCTTGAGGTAATCTGGATTTTAGTCGGAGTCTCTGGATTTCAGAAGGTTGGCCTGTGTTATAAAATCCAATGCTGCTGGTTAATGGAAGTTTTGTAAATAATTTTGATGTAATTTTCTTGATGAAATCTTCTATAGGTTTTATTTCCAGTTCTAAATGTATTTGATGGGTTCGAACATACCAGGGACATTTTAGAATTATCCTTAAAACTTTATTTTGAAACGTTTGCAGTTTACGAATCGAGCTTGATGAAGCAGTTCCCCATACTGGGCAGGCGTACAACAATAGTGGACGTAGAAACCACATGTTACTGGCAACGAAATTACAACAAAATCGTAAACTTCAACAAAAGAAAAGAAAGAAATATAACAGCTGATTATAAACAAACCTTAAACCAAAGAGGTTTTATTATGACTGGATGACTTAGCGCGTCATTGTAAACCGGCGACACCGTTGATTTTATTGGTTTGGAAATCCGAGCAACGCTTGGTCCTTCTGGTACTTAAATTTAAAACTAGTAGGTTTTTTCTTGTAAGTAAATAGATCATACGAGTAAAAATGTTTTTAAAAAATTTCTAGCAATGAATAATCAATATCCTATACTCTAATACGAGCAAAGTTTGCTTGTATGTATGTATGTATGTATGTATGTATGTATGTATGTATGCTTGCACCAAGATCTCAAAAACTGCTCCGACGATTTTCTTCAAATGTTGTATATAGTTTATTATTGGCCTAAAAACGAGTTTACTGCAATTAGAACTGCCAACAAAAATCTAATTACGTAGAAAAATGAAACTGAAAATCAAATTTTTTTAACATTAGTCTTATGGGTTGCTAGGTAACCATGTTGGCTGAATTAAATAACAAGGATAATGTAAACAAAAGACTTGTAAGCTATCTATCCACAGTATACTAGCAAATCAAAATACAGTACAAAAGGAAAAACATCAGTTGTTACTATTGAGCAAAGATTATACTGAAGATTACTCGATTCTATAGTCAAGGGTAGCAGTGTGGAGTGTGGGATCTGTTTATGACGATTAGATTACGGTATCTGCAATCCTTAAATGCTATGGGAAGGGAAGGAAACAGGTCCGCGACGTAGGAAGTAGCAAAGGCGAGCAGTCTGGAGTGTGGGAACTGTTAACGACAATTAGATTAAGGTATCTTCAATCCTAAAATGCTATGGGAAGGGAGGGAAACAGGTCCGCGACGTGGGAAGTGATGAAGGAAGTAATAAAGGCGAGCAGTCTGGAGTGTGGAAACTGTTTATGACGATCATATTAAGGAATCTGCAATCCTATAATCCTATGGGAAGGGATGGAAAGAGGTCCGCGACGTAGGAAGTGGTGAAGGAAGTAGTAAAGGTGAGCAGTCCGGAGTGTGAAAACTGTTTATGACGATTAGATCAAGTTATCTACAATCCTAAAATGCTATGGGAAGGGAGGGAAACAGGTCCGCGACGTGGGAAGTGATGAAGGAAGTGATAAAGGCGAGCAGTCTGGAGTGTGGAAACTGTTTATGACGATCATATTAAGGAATCTGCAATCCTATAATCCTATGGGAAGGGATGGAAAGAGGTCCGCGACGTAGGAAGTGGTGAAGGAAGTAGTAAAGGTGAGCAGTCCGGAGTGCTGTTTATGACGATTAGATCAAGTTATCTACAATCCTAAAATGCTATGGGAAGGGAGGGAAAGAGGTCTGCGACATAGGAAGTGGTGAAGGAAGTAGTAAAGGCGAGCAGTCTGGACTGTGGAAACCGTTTATGACGATTAGATTAAGGAATCTACAATCCTAAAACCCTATGGGAAGGGATGGAAAGAGGTCTGCGACATAGGAAGTGGTGAAGGAAGTAGTAAAGGTGAGCAGTCCGGAGTGTGAAAACTGTTTATGACGATTAGATTAAGGTATCTGCAATCCTTAAATGCTATGGGAAGGGAAGGAAACAGGTCCGCAACGTAGGAAGTAGCAAAGGCAAGCAGTCTGGAGTGTGGGAACTGTTAACGACGATTAGATTAAGGTATCTTCAATCCTAAAATGACATGGGAAGGGAGGGAAACAGGTCCGCGACGTGGGAAGTGATGAAGGAAGTAATAAAGACGAGCAGTCTGGAGTGTGGGAACTGTCTATCATGATTAGATTAAGGTATCTGCAATCCTAAAATGTTATGGAAAGGGAGGGAAACAGGTCCACGACATAGGAAGTGGTGAAGGAAGTAGTAAAGGCGAGCAGTCTGGAGTGTGGAAACTGTTTATGACGATCATATTAAGGAATCTGCAATCCTATAATCCTATGGGAAGGGATGGAAAGAGGTCCGCGACGTAGGAAGTGGTGAAGGAAGTAGTAAAGGCGAGCAGTCTGGAGTGTGAAAACCGTTTAT